TGGATGCCAGTCACTGCTGTCACGGGCAATGCACAAGGTTGAAATTACAGTGTATGATACTGTTATACATGTTTATACTAGTACTTTACACATTATTTTTTGCTTGATCTAGGTGTTTGGCCTGACAAGTTTGAAAGCATCTGATACGATAATGGACATTCGTAGTGGATCTGGTTCTATCACAGTTGATCAGTTGGTTGGCACCTTCTCATCTGATCCTAGCTTGATTGCTTTTGCACAACTCTGCTGTGACCCCTCCTGGTATAATAGGTAAGCTCATATTTCTAGATTATTTTGGCATCCATGTTCTGTTTGATTATGTTTTTAGTATTTCATTTCATTCTGCTCGTTTGATTTTTGAAGCTCATATTTCATTCTTAAATCTTTTGATGAATAACTGATCAGATGCCCTTTAATGAATAATTAATATTTTAAGTTTTATTAGACTTGCACAAAGGGAACAAATCTACGTATGGCTTTCATATACATATTGGAGCATCTCTGGCTGTAGATTTTTTTTTTGTAAAGATGGGAAAACTCTGATTGCTCATCCAAATACAAAATGCATTTCTTTTTTATTAAAGGAATTTTTTTATTAGAGAAATACTGTGAAAAATATTTCTTTGTATATTTGGTCAAACAGTACAGTAGTCAAGATTCCTGTCACTGTCAGTGCAATAAAGTGTGATTCCCTAATTTTCCGAATATTTATATTCTTTTTGTTGTAAAGATGGTGTAATATCTTAATAAATTAATAAAAATGCTTGCAGATCTGATGTTGATTTCAAGGAATTTTGCTTGCAAGTATTATTTGAGTGCGTGAGCAAGGATAGACCAGCTCTTTTACAGGTAATTTACTTAAAAGGTTATTTTGTATTTCCTAAATTCATTCATTAATGACCCAATTTAAAAATTTTCAATGTTGGTTGCATTTCCATGTTGATCATACATGCCACGTTTCAAATAAATTGCCTATCCATAATGTCTTCTGTTTTAGATTCCATGAGGTAATCTTGTGTACTAAAATTACTATTACAGTATAACTTATGAAATATCGAGGAATTTTATGAGCATGATCTACATGTATAAACGTCTGAGATGAGTCGCTTCTTATGAGGCTTGATTCTTATAAGTGTGTAAATAAATAAAAATTGGTATAATGTCAATGCTCGCTGTAAACTGTTTGATAATGATTTTGCACTATTATGCAGGTATATTTGTCATTATTCACAACAGTTGAATCAATGGCCGGACAAGTTACTAATGGGGCCATTGTTTTTGGTGACTCACTCTCTATATCTGGTTTAAAGGTAGTTTTGTGCTTAGTCTTTGATAATTGTACTTTCTTTTGAAGTAATAATCTGTTCTTAAACTGGTTTTGATGCTCAGCTCTTTAGGTAAACAGTTGTTTTCATAGCAATAGTGATCTCCTCTGTTGTGATCCTACTGGGTTTTTGCCATTGGTCTCTAGAATTGGTTTTTATGATCAAGAATTAAGTGATGATTAAAGCAGAACATGCTGTTAGGCATATCTTCTCATATATGTTTCCCTGGCAAACATCTTGGATATCATATTTATCAGAATTAAACATCAGTTATCATATTTCCCTAGGGCTAGACTGAGTTACATTATACTCATTCTGTAGAGATCTAATTGGGATTTGTTCTTCAAATCAAATTAGTCTTTTAAACACCTGCATGAGGTAGTCTTGGTGCAATCGTAAGATTGTTTGCTTGTGTTTGTGATGTATCAGTCATGATTTTGAGTCGTAATTAAAATCTGTCCTCTCCAGGCCTCATACTAGGCCACTGTCCCACGACTCCCACCCCTTATACGAATTGTTTCTGCTTGCAGCTTGCACTGACATATATTGAGGCATTGATGACTGGAAAATTATCCGCTCCAAAAGGAGGAATTGTACAATCAACATTTGTTGGTTCGCTTCGAAAGCAAGTGGAAGAACTCTTAAATTCTTCCCAGGAATTGAAGGATGATTTTCATAACTATTTGAAATTGGGAAAATGGCCTGATGGAGAATCCCAAGATAAACGTTCAATCCTTCTTTCTTGGTTCCTTCAGTGGTTTGATGTACCAACTTCATCTGTAATTAGGACAGCTGTTGATAGAGTCAAACCTAAGCTTATGTCGTCATCTTCAATTCCCTTGTTGCGTCTGTTTTTTCCAAGAACTCACATTCATGTGCTCAGCGAGATAGATAGATGTTTGTCATGATTGTAGTTCAGCTTTAATCTTTTGATTTCCAAATACTCATGTACAGTAGTCTTCAGATATCTGTATCTGCCAAAGCGTTTTTGTTTATACGAGTTTATCCCTTTGCCTACTTTCCTGTTCCACAAACCAAATAGGCATTAAAATTTGAGAGTATGTCCCCGGAAACCTGGTACGCATGTATAGATACATATTTGATCTCTTATTAACTCGTTTGTATAGTCATACATGCGTCTATGGAACTGCTTTGAGGGTACAAGCAAGTCGTGATGATTCAGATGAACACTAGTTACATCTAAGCTAGTACAAACGGGTCAACTTTTTCAAGCCAGTAATTTTAACTGATAGGTGCTAAGTAAAATTTCAAGAATTGAAGAATCCCATTATTTTAGGGCCTTGATATCGGCACCCCTCTTATTGCTCTTAAATGTAGAAATTTGTTTTTGGACGAAATTATTCCTGACATTCAACACCTTGAACACAATGGAAATTTGTTTTTGCTGAGTAGAATTATTTGTTCCATTAAGTACGTTAATTTGTTTTTAAAAGAGTTTAAATAAAAATAATAATGATCAAACCATTAATTTAGTTTCTCTTTACCTATTTGGTGTTAAATGTATTTCGAAATCAATTAGTGAATTTTGGTGTTTACTTGTTAAATATAGATAAGAATATATGGAAGAAACTAAGCTATGATAAAATACAGCCCTCATACTTATACGAAGTTCAATACTCATTTCGGTAATTTCGGGATATCATTTCTTATATATTATTTTTTTTACCAAAAAAATTTTAAGATTCAACAAAATACAAAATATGAAACTTACAAGAAGATACAAGATATAAAATTATCGGTGAATCTTCCTCTGATACATGCAACACGTTTAAGTATTTACGTGTCTATCTCAATTTCTGCTTTACCTTCTTGTAAGTGTTACGTGAAAATCATTTTTCATAGATTCATAATGCTCTCAAGGACCTCTTCCATAAGGGGCCTTGTGTTTCATGACCCTTTTACCAACTTTGCCACCATCTTTGGCACCTCTAGTGCCTTGGCCCTTGGGTGCTTTTGATGCAGTAGCAACCTCAAGCTTAGCAATTTCTCTTGAGCTGATTATCTTCTCTAGGGCCCACTCTACTTGCATGTTTAATAAAGCATGTATTCAACACAATAAACCCACAAATCAATATAAATTTAATCATTAAAAAAATACATTAATAGAATTCATTTAAAACTACATATACACAATGAAAACCTAGCTGGAAGTACTATGATAAAGTCGATAAGCTAAAGACAAGGCAAAGCTAGCAAAAGGGAAAAGTTCTTTCAAGACTCGATGTCTCTATAGACAAACTTCTTTAGAAGCATTTGTAGGAAAAAAAATGAATTTTTCTATAATTTAAAATTAGTCTATATGCAAGTAAAAAATAAATTTTAAAAGAAGCTAATATAAGAAAGCTCTTATAAATTAGTTTATGTAAGAGCTAATTTTAATCTATGAAAGAATTTATTTCATTTTTCTTATTCCTTTTTATTATAAGTACTTTTGAAAAAGTTTATCTAGACAAATCCTATGTTAGAAAATGAAGACCAAAATCAAAGACTTAATTATTTGATGTGAACACTTTGCATTCTAACTAAGTCTAGCTTGAATTGATTAATTCATTTAGACAATTAAGATAAGATCTATGCACTAAAAAGAAAATTAAATGAAGTAATTTCATCAAACGGATTAGAAATATAAAAATCTAATAATTGAGCTATTTTGGGTTTTTAAAAAATAAGACTTGAGTCTCCCATTAAATACTCTCGAAAGAAAATTCAAGTTTAAAAGTTCAAGTTTAAGAAAAGATAATTTACAACAATTCAAATACTTTGTTTAAAAGAAGTCATTTGTGAAAGACTCAATTCTTCTTACAAGAGACTTTTTCACGAATGACTCAATTCTCCTTAATAGATAATAATATTTGTGAAAAATCTTTTATTAAAATCAATTTCATATATTTTATCATCAACATATATTTTTTGGATACAAAATTTATCATATTTTATTCTTCCAACTCCTATATATAAAAAAGGTTTTTCATTAAATATAAACAAAGACCAAGAAACACGAGAGAATAGAATTAGAACAAGATAATTATTGAGAATTTTAGGTTGACAAAAAAAGTACTAGAATTTCAATTTGTGTTATCATCATTGTTGAGAGTGAATAATTGTTTTTGAGCTTTCCTTTTGTATTCGAAGATGGTTGTCCCTTGAAATTTTGATATGGAAATTATAGGTAAAAGAGTTCTTGGTGGGGTTGTCAAGGTGAGTTTTCTCAAGTGTAAAAGGTCTGGTACTACATTTTTGGATTCACTATAAGGTATGTGATCCCTATGGGCTAGTCAAGAGTGTTCATAGAAGAGTATCTCAAGGGGGGTTGTCAGGGTGGAATTTCTTAAGTGTAAAATACTTGTTGCTTTGTAATGTTTTCACATATTGAAAATCTCAAACCCCCCTTAGAAACTAGATGTAAGTTATAGATCGTGGTTGAACCGATATAAATCTTGGTTTCTTCTATATATCCTTAAACTCCTTTATTGCTTTATATATTTATGTTTATGCTTTAATTACTTATTGGTTGGGGTTTGGGATTTCTGTCTCTTCACATCTGATTCTTTTGCAATTGAAGTTAAACAATTATTCTATGGAAACAAACAAAATGAAACACACACAGAAACCTTAGGGCTATATAGAAACCGAAAGTTGAAACAATTAATCTACTAAACGAAACTTTGATGCTTTATTTTCTCTTCATTCAGGGAAAAAGGATTCATTGTACATTTAAGGATCTTGTGCTTCCGTGCTTGGCTAAGTTGGCTTAACAAAGAAACATGATGAAATAAAAAGGGGGTAAAAATGCCCAATTCCTAAAAAACAAAAAAAAACAAAAAAAGTCTATATAAAGTTGCTAAAATTACAAAAGCTGACAAACAATTGTTGAGGCATTCAAGGGAAAAGGAGCTTTTTCCATAAGAAAAGGTAGAAATAATAACAATTAAGGAAAAAAGGAAAAAGGGAATAGAAGTATGTGTGAAGATATCTATAGGTTGGTGTAGGTCAAGATTGAGAAATGATCCGTGCATAAAGGAACTCATTCCATGTGTCGGGTAATCCTGGTAAACACCAATGAATACAATCTGCATAAGTGGCAGGATCAGCTTGCTGTTCTGGAGTTAACATCTTGCCTTGGCGTATGGTGTAAACAGAGGTGTGTGCATCTTTTCTCAACTCTGATAAACTAGTGATGTTAATGAAGTACACTGGCACCTTCATTGATTGTGTCACATTGTTGGCAATTGCAAAAAGTCTACGATCTGTTCCCACATCCAATGGGGTTGACATATTGAGAACCGGAGTGGTTTCCATAGCACATTTTATACCATCTGGGTTGTTCCAATCCTCACTCCTACAAATTCATATGGTTAAATGTAAATCTTCAATTCAAATGTGTTCAAAAGTATTATTAGTTTCTAAGTCGATGTAACAATTATAAACATCGTAAAAAAATAAAAGTTACAGTTATATTTTTTCTTATCACTTATCTTTCATATTTTTACAAACTATTACTCAATTTTTAAAATTATTTATTTTGTCACTTTGTTAATTGATCGTATAATATTGTTAATAAATCATTATCATAACATGTTAATTACTGACGTAACATGATTATTATTGTGACAAGTTAATTGTTGATATGTTACATTATAATATAGGTATTATATTAGTAATTAACGTGAATGATCAATACGTTAATGATCAAATAACTATACAACTCACAAGAAGGTGAAAAATATACAAAGTTTTAAAAGTTGAACAGTAATTTTAAGAATTGGTTACAAATTTTACAAAAGAATATATAAAAAAAAGGTGACAAAAGGTAAGCTAAAAGGATAAAAAAAAACGTACGGTGGCCAACTACACTATCAAAATTGAAGACACCTACCTAATGGCATAACAAAGTCGTAGTATAATATGAATTTCACACTGATTGACAATTCGTCTGTATCATTAAAGATGTTTAGATAATTTTTATATATTAGATATGACGCAAGACTTAAATTGTATTGTCTCTGTGTCTTTATCTATGTGTATGACATATAATGTCCATATCACTGTTCATAGTATGAAATAAAATTTTGTTGATTCTTCAAATATGAGAAGTCATAAATTAAGAATCAGTGATTAATTACTTGATATGAAGAGGGGACGTGCTGCTGAAGAAAACTTTGGTTCGATTTGGGTCAATGTTGTCATCTACCCATTTTGACCATGTCGCGAGGACTCTCCCATATGCTATTGGCCGAGGAACTTCATCGTATTCCGTGGACCCTTCACCGAATGACCCTCGTCTATTGCATCACACCCAAGAATATACAAATTCATTATTTGCTTCAAAATTACGTAAACTTCAAAAGAGGAAAAAAAAAAAAAGGGATTGGATTAGAGAATGATCATGTTCTTACAAAACTTTCATAGTGAAAGTGTTCATCCACCATATGTAGGTGTTAAAGATGAGGTAGTCCACACTCTTCCAATTCACTCCATGCTTTTCGATCGATTCAGGCATGATGATACGGTTCAAGATGCTGTGCATGTTTGGATCATCTGAATTTGACTCTACAAGGAACGGTGCCCAGTAGAATTCCACCGTAGTAACGTGCTCTGGCTCCTACACAAACATAACCATGAGTGCATCCTAAGCAATATGGAATAAATATTCCCTAGATAACGTGTCCTTTCTTAACTACCAAGAGATTCGTGTAATTTCCCAAAGCTATAACTTTCAGACAAAGGCCAAACAAGTAGGTAACTTGGTTTTTAAACCAAACCCCATTTGGATCATCAAATTCAGTGGTCCACCATCATCATGCACAAAATGATTCTAATTTCAGCTTTACACCCACTCCAGCCCAAAAGGGTAAAAATTAATGAAGATAAAAGAGTACTTTACCAATATGATGTTATGCTTGTGGTTAATCATTATGGCAAACTAATAAAAATGTGTTTTAGGTTTGTTAAAATTAACTTTATTTTTTTGTATTTTTTAAACAAAGTGTAGGATTAGAGATGAAATTCATCACATTTGACAAATACAAAGATCAAAACTACCATTTTTAAAATATAGGAACCAAAACTATTTTTTTTATTAAATTTTGAATAACCTTAAAACACATTTATCAACGAGAGAAGAAGAAGGACAATTACTGAATTACAAACCTCGATTTTGAAGATAGCAAGAGAACCAGTTTTGTACCAAGTCTTGTTAAGTGAAGGAACCGCAGAATTGACCATACAAACCATTGATTCCCACTGGTTCCTATTCAGTGAATCTCCAACAAACATGAGCCTCTTCCCTCTGATCTTCTCAAACAAAAGCTTCGGTTTGAACCTTAACAATTCACAAAAACACAACCAATAAGAACACTACAAAAAAAAAAAAAAAAGAATGAAACTAGCTATCTAAAAGAACATGATAAACACGTACTTGGGAAGAGAACAATCTCTTGGCTTCCACTTCCAATTCTGATACATAGAATCACGTCGTCCATTCTTCATGCATGTCACTTGCGAAGTGAGAAACTCACACTGTTCTTCTTTGTACAAAGGGTGTGTCTCGTTATCCAAAACCCACTCCCCAGTAAACAAGTCACAATCTTCTGGTGGCAACTCAACAACCTCTTCTTCTTTTTCCTCCTCTTCTTCTTCCACTTCTTCCTCTTCCTCCGCACGTGGCAGTTCAATCTTTCTCTCTTTCTCCACCACCGTTTTCAAATCAACACGTTCTTGTGTCTCATCAGAATCCTCATCATCACTACTCTTCTCTAGTTGAACCCTAGAACTCTTCGTAACCGTGACAGTGTCTTCCACGTCCTTCTCAGTGTCCCTTTGAACACTTGGAACAGACTCAACCTCTTGCGTTTCGTGCGCTTTTGGACTCGAGAATGGGAACTCGGCTATGGACTTAACGTCCTCGTTGTACATGAAGAGCCCGAAGAGGAAGATCGAGAACACCACCACGAAAATGGAGAGGTTGTTGTTCTTGCGACCCTTCATTGACCCCATTTCTGAGTTGAAGAGTGAGGATTTTCTTCGAAGAGGCTGCATGGGGGAGAGAGAAGAAAGAAGTGGTGATGTCAGAATAGTGATAGTAGTGTTCTCTGAGCAAGGAAGAAGGAAAGAGAGGTAGAAATATTATAGCATTCAAAGCAAGGAGAGACATTGAAATTCTTGTATTAGGTTGGGTTTGTTCGTTTAATTAAGGTTTGGTGGAATGGTCTTGTCTTTCAAGAATATACAAGAGGTTATTGGTGGAGGGAAAGTTGTCTTTCTCAACTCACAACCTAGAATCTACATCTATACAATCTTGTTGCTATGAATATAATTTATATTATTATTATATACATATATATTAAGCTTAATTACACTTTTTTAGTGTCTTAATTTTATGATTTTGTAAACTTTATCATATATCTTATAAAATTATATATTTTATTATATTTTATCATCATGTTAATGTATGATTTTGATACATTAAGTCACCTTAATTATCATTCATATATTATATAAAAAATTTATGTTAACAGTCAATATGACATGTCAATAATCAATCAACGAAGATAAATATTTAATAAAATAATAAAATGTAAAGAAATTAAAAATTGACTAGCAAAATGTATAATTAGAAAAGTTAAGCAACAAAATTTGTGAAATTATAAGAGTTTGGTATAAAAAGTGTAATTAAACTTATATTTTATTTTGGTTGTAATTTTGGTTCCCTTGTGAACTGTGGTGAATTAGTTATGGCAACCACTTGAAAGATCTGTGTCTCTTTGGGACAATACGTGAGGAGGAGGGATTATGAGGAGTGATCTCAAAGCCTTGAAAGTTGGTAGCAGTCTCAGTCCGGTGGTTTTGAGGGTCTTTGGTGGACACAATGTTGTTGTCTTTCAGTTTTCACTCTTGAGATTGCAAGGTAACTTTAATTGATGGTGAGAGAGTTGTATTCAGTTGACAACCACCTTCCAACGCCAGACTCTACATTCAACAATTCATCAAGTCAATGAGTCAACTAATTTATAATGCCAATCAAAATATAACTATTTCATATTTATATTCAGCTAACTTAATCTGACCCAATCACCAGTATTTTTTTTTTTTTTTCACACTAGCCACGTACATCCTTTAATTTTACTTGAATTTGATAGGATTACTATAATCAATAAAATTTTCCTTTAAAGTATTTAAGATAATTAAATATTTATTATTCAAACCTGAATTATCAAATAAGATTTACATTAAGTTAAGTTGAAATAATATTGTGTCAGGAAATTCACGCGCTTAATAGAACGATGAGAAATTTTAATCTGGACTACACAGGCTATAAGTAAAAAAATAAAAGTAATTTAATAAAAAAAATATTTATTATGTTAGAAGTATAAAATTTATTTAAGATTTTTTAAATAGTTAAAAATATTTAATAAAATATACTCAATATATATTCTTAGAATTACAAGATATTCTCGGACGAAAAATCTGCAACCATCTAGATTTTTGAACTTTCCACCACTTAGCTCATCTTAATCATCCCGCAATCTTATGATACATTATTCAATATTTTGATATAATCGTATCTTATGATAATTTATTCAATATTCACACAACCGTTGCCTGTCATTTTTCTTAATGATATTAAATATCTATTTTTAAAAATAATGATTAATTTGTTGAAGATCGTGTACATATAATATAAATATTTTTTTAACAATTTATTTCATACACAGAGTCATAAATCAAATTCTGAATAATTTATTTAAAGGATAAAAATTGTTATTATATATATTAACCAATAGTTGTCACCTATAATTTAGTATTGCAAAAAACATCATGGATAGTTGCATCCTTTTGACATTATTTAATCTAAGAATATGACATATTAAATATGTTTTAAAGAAAAAATTGTTTATAAATTCAACTAAAACATCAATATATATATATATATATATATA